CATAGGCTTTGACACTTGCATCTGAAAAGCAATGTAGTTCGAGATTTTCGACATTAATGTTCGAGTGCATGAAAAGGTAACGAGAGATGGAGAATTCAGCCATTTGAGGTAGCTCTTCACACCACTTTCTCCATTCAGAGGACAAATCTTCAGGTAACGGTTCATCCCAATCTATTTGTGACAACCAAATCTTCTGTATTAAGCACTTTATTCTAACAGTGAAAGGTCCTAAAATTCCAATCGGATCGAATATCCGACCCAACACTTGTAGAAGAAATCGTTTTGTTTCTATTGGTTTAGATGTGAAAGACAATAAGTTCCGAACATCAAAATACAGTAAGTCCTTTGAATTATCCCATGCCATACCTAAGACTTTAAATGGGAAATTTTCTCTATTAAAATCTTCAGGATTTTCATCTGGAACGATACCCTTTTTTACCCACAATTCATGTAATTGTCTCGAGTTACTATGCCATTTGTGAAGCTGCATGCTTGCTTCCTTAAATATTTGGACCGATTCTAGAGTCGTAGTTAATGCTTCACTGATCGTTGGTTGGCTTCCAATCACATCATCTACATATACGTTCTCATTCAAAAAGTTAACCGTTGTAGGATAAAGTTTATTATATTTTTTTTCAGATGATGTTTAATGGTAGCGGCTAATAGAAATGGACTACTATTTATTCCGAATAAAACTCTAGTGAACCTATATATGTCAGGAGAAATGGTTTCATCATTAGGGAAATCGGAAAACAGAAACCTGGTTGCGTCTCGATCTTTTTCATGTATGAGAATCTGTAAAAAGGCTTGTTTTATATCTGCGGTGAAGGCTATTAGATTATACCGAAATCTTAACAATATTTCGAATATTTCAGGGTATAAATTTGGCCCAACATGTAGACAGTCATTTAAAGAAATGGATCCTGGGGCATGCGATGATGCATCATAAACAATACGTAATTTACTTGTAGCTCGATCCTCGCGTATAACTTCCCTATGTGGCAAGTAAAACACGACATCCTCTTCATTTGAAATTTCTGAAACTGGTTCGATAATATTTTGTTTTAACTGATCTCTTAATACGTTCCTGTATTCGGAAAATAGATTAGGATCTTTTTTAAATCGTTTTCTAAGTCGATGAAATCTTTGTTCTGCGATTTCCCTATTATTATTTAGATTTGATGTGTCATGTTTCCAAGGCAATCTAACTTTATAGCGAGAATTTTCATATGTTATATTTGATTCGAAATATTCGACGACTTCATTTTCAGTTGAATCGAAGTTTTCCCTCTTATCAATAAGTCCTGAGTTTTCCAAAGTCATTTTGTCCAAAATTTTTGTTATTTGTTTGGAAATCAAATCTTCCCCTACAACTACATTGAAAGCTAAAGAGACATCATCATCACCTTTTCGTCCATGTAGGCACCATCTGAAAATAGTTTCCACTGCAACAAGATTTTTGCTTAAGTATTGAACGTGTCCCATTACTATCTTGTAATAATAATCTGCACCAATTAGAATGGCAATGGGTTTTTACAATCGGGAAAATCTGCGAGCATCAAATTTTTTAATTGTCTGTTTTGCTTAATTTCTTCTGATTTGGGAGGTGGAATATCTGTACCTGATATATGATCAGTTTCGAGGTTTAATCTGTCCGCTAACTCGCGAGCACAAAAACTTTTCATACTTCCACTATCCAAGAGAAGTCTGGTAAACACCTTTTCCTTAGCTGTTTTAACTTTTATCGTGCAAGTCTGTAAAAGAATTGCATTATTTGCATTATGTGAAACGGCCGAAACAATTTCTTCTTTCTGTTCCTTAGTTTGTGTATCATTTTTCGAAATTAATATACTATCCTTTTTATCACTTGGTGTATTTTTAACTATCGAACTGGATTTAAAACATATGGCTTCTGAATGTTTACCTTTGCAAATTTTACAAACTTTAGTTTGGCGTTGCCGGCACTGTGAGATTTTGTGTTTAGGGGCCAAACAAAGAAAACAACCGCGCTTGTTTTTTCAAAATATCTCTCTTCTCATTAACTGTAAGGCATAAACAGGACTCTGAGTCATGGTTTTGAAAACAAAAAATGCAGTTTCGATTTGATGACGCGGCTGCCATAAATTCATGTGTGGTGACAGTTTGTTTATGTTTCGGCGTCGGTGGATATCTGTTAATACCTTTCATTTCCGGGTTTTGACTTGCGTGGAAAGGATAACGAATTAATCTTTTCTCGCGATTCTATTTCTAATCGGAGAAAGTCTAGAAATTTGTTTAAATCATAGGTTGAAGGATTTTCAGTATTTGTACGATGAAATTCTAAAGTTATATCGTTCGGGACAATTTTCATCAAAATTGGAATAAACATGTTGGAATATGTTTCTGGTTTCACACCGAATGCTAAAAGGCTTCTGACTTGAACGTTAATTGTATCATAAAGTTTTCGCAATTTTGCCACTTCACTTGAACTTTGAACGGGATTTAAATTTAAGAGATTAGAAATGTGTGTATTGATAATAAGGTCACTTTGACCGAATCTATTTTTAAGAATGTCTATAGCAGAGTCATAATTAGCCTCTGAGATTGAGAGACCTTCTATGGCTGATGCTGCGTTTCCACATAAATAAGTTCTCAAATAATTAAATTTTTTCTATCTTCGAAAGTGTAACATTGTCATGAATAGTGACCTTGAATGAATTCCAAAAATTCATCCAATCGTTATAATCTCCGGAAAATTTGTGAATTAACAGTTTGGGCAATTTCACATTGCCTTCAATCTGTCTTTTGGTTTCAACTTCTGTAGATGAATTATTTAAATTCGTGTTGATATTTTGAGTATTGTATTTCCTTAAATAACGGTTGATTTTAGACTTCGCTATTATTATTTTATCGTTATATTCCATAGAAGTGTTAATATCTGAATCTAATTTTGATTCATCTTCAATCAAATTTTGTATTTTTTTCATTTAAATCATGTAGTTCCGTTTCTTTACTATTTAACAATTCCAAACAATTTTTTCTAACTCTTCTTGTTTTTTTCTTCTTTTAAATACTCATCTACATTTTTAATAATTTTGAGTTACAGAAGCACGTATATGTGCTCGATTCTTAATTAGTGTCTTCTGTTCCATTTTAATAAATTATCAAAGGAGACTTCCCGTGAGAAGTCTTCACTTACAAAGCTAATCCAAAGGGCAAAAAACACAAATTTTCAAATTAATAAGATTCTTTTCTGGAGCCGATGCACCATTATGTAACGAAAGTTCTAGATCAAAGTCGAATCACTCATAATCCAAAAGATGAGATGCATGGCCTGGAGGGTTTTCCATAAATTTTAATTAAGCTTAATATTTACATATATACAATGTAGGCTAAAATGCCTGAATCGAATATTTAATGCTCAAAAGGCAAGAATAGTTCCAGCTAAAATCTAAATCGAATTCTATTGCGTAGTGCATCAAAATTCTACCTTCAAGAAGAAAAAGAATATTTTTTCAAGTCACGTGTTCAGAAGGGGAAAGGTTAAGTAAGCCAATAGATGGACTCCTAACGCCATCTCTTGGCGATATCAAAGAATATTCCTTAACAGAGGCTAATCATTTTTGAAATATGCAATATACATACATACATATAGACATTGCAAAAACCTTTTTTTAATTCATTTTACAATTTGTATTGGAAAAACAGTCTTGTATTCAGTCAGATGTCATTAAAAAAAATCATTAGAATGGATATTTCTATTGAAATATGGTACCTGAAAATTTTCACTACTATGATACTTCCTTTGCTTTGTACAAGGAAGTAAAATTGTTTCCAAACAGAGCTTAACTTTTAAATATTCCTTATGTATGATATATACTGTTCAAGAAGCTATTGAAATGTTCTTAAATTTCTGTTTTATTTGGGGAAAAGGCATTAAAATTTCATTGGGGGAAAAGGCATTAAAATTTCAGTCTCATTTTATATTATGTTAAGGTATATTGTGCTAAATGGAAGTGTGCATAGAATTGTGTATGTTTTTACAATATTTGCTGACACAATGTTATTTATATCTTACTTTAATTAATTAATTGATGAGTCGTTTGTTAAGATTTAATATTTAAATATAACTCTTCTTTATATTGTGTTGCAATTTTTAGACATTTATTAAGTGCAGAGTTTCTTTCAGATAATATTAAGGATTGTCACCGGAAAGACAAGATTTATTGTGCAAGGTGTAGAAGTAAGCAGTATTCTTTTAATATACAACTAAATGATCTGAAAGCATTTATTGTAAATTGCAAACCTGACATGAATTGTTCATATTTGCTGTTCAGATATATTGGGCTTCCCATAAAAAATGCAGCTTTTGAAATGCCCATCATGTCTGCTCTAAGTTGGCAGCACTGAATGTCACATTATTTTCATCCTTAGGTTCTGTGGTCGGAACAACAGTTTCATCAAGAAAGTACAGTGATGAGGTGTACTTTCTGTCATATGGCTTCATAAACAAACAGAATTGCAGGATTTGTGGCAGCACCTTCGAAGTAGTAAGCCCAATTATACTCTTAGCCCAGATTCCACACACTGTCACTTGTTGTGGATGTAATGAATTCTCTATAATTACTTGGAGGTTTTCTGAGCCCCAAATCGTGCAGTTCTGTTTATTCGCGAAGCCATTCAACAAGCTTTATCACTGAGCATTACTTTCTTGATGAAACTAATCCACTTCACTGCTAATCGCAAAGGCAGCAGATGAAAATTGTGTGATGTTCAGTGCTGCCAACTAACTAGAACAGAAATGGTGGGCGTTTGAAAAGTTGCTTTCTTTATGTTATATACTAGTATGTATCTTGCATAGTTACCCCTTTATGTTATATGGTATGTGTAATTTATGTAATAATTTACTTGAATAATATAAATATAATAGAATTCTAATTATTCTGATTAACTAGAATTCTAATTATTCTGAATAACTTGATGTATATACCATCTAGATCAGGCACTCCCAACTTTTATTATTATTATTATTATTATTGTTATTTTTTCATCAACTCCTTTTAAAAAAATGGTTTCTTCATATACCCTCTTACATTTTTCTCTATAACACACAGCATGCAATATAATCTTAATACAAACAATGTCTTGTAAGTAATATAAAGATAACACTGTTATGTAGAAAAATGTCTGAATTTTCTCTTATTAAGGTATCCGACTACGTTCCGATCATCAATTTAAGGATTTAATTTAAAGCTTATATTTTTAGCTTTCAAAAACTATTTTTGTTTTGTCTCTCCAGTGATTAGAAGTAGAGTTATGGCTGTTTTTGTTCTACACCATGAACCGAAAATTGCTGTTTAAAAGGCCGGAAGTTGATGTTTAAGGGACACAGACTGCTCTAAACAAGAATATTTCATTTGAAAACTGTTGGCGATATTCAAAAGATGATTTTGAAGTATATGTATTATTATTATGTGCTTGGAAGCAAGATTACTTTCGAAATTTCAGTATCATATTTGGCAACATTTCCGTTTGTGTTTATATTCTGATTTGATTACACTCTGATTTAGCGTGCTTGCTGTTATTCAGTATTATTTTTTATCTCTTTCTGCTTTGTTATTTTAACATTGTGATACAAATATTTTCACTTTATTATTGTAAATGTTGTAATGGGTCGGCGGGGAACTTTTCGTTCTAAAAAACGGCGATTTGCTGGAAGCACATATACTGTGAAAGCTTCTACCAGTGAATCGAAACTAGAAACAATAAAACATTTTCTGAAAATTATAATGAAGCTCGTAATAGAATATTCGATGTTGAAATTCTAAAATCTGTATTTTCTGCATTGTCCTGTCCAGTGTGTTTCAAAACTCAAAACAGTAATGAAAGTTTTAATAATATATCATACCAAAAGTATCATACCAAAACAAGTGTTTGTTGAGTTGACAACATTGTGTCTTGGTTCCTATATAGGAGTAATGCAGTTTAATAATAGATTTTTGGGTATGTTAAAAATATTGGGAAACTTAATATGAAGCATGGACAAAGGGATATAACTGTATTGATAAAACTCGCATTGTCGATTCAAAACGCCATTCTTTACATTCCGCAAAAATAACAAGGAAAAAATTAAGAGCTTCTTTAAAGAAAAAATCTTCTAAAATAGAGTTAACAGAAGGTGCAATATACAAAACAGGGCACTTTTAGCAATGTAATATATCAATTTCTAATATATTTTCTAAAGATAAAACTTTAAATTTATTTTTGGAAAACTTGTTTTTGTCAATATTTCTAATACGAAAAACACCGTAACTTCAAATATTACTATAGCAATTTTATGATACTTCCCACATATATTCTATAGAATATTGGGAATTAATTGGACTAAAAGTTTAGTTTTATAAACATATTTAAGATTTTTGCAGACAATTTTGTAAATGAAGAGAGAAAAATTTCTCAAAAATAGCCAGTGTAGTGTATGTACTCAAACAGGTATATTTAATAGACATTTTGCTTTATGACTTAGATTTTAGACCATTTTATTCCTTATGCTTTAATAAATATAAGTGGAAAAAAATAAAAGTAAAATATTGATAAATAATTTTTAGGGAACTAATCTGGTGATACTGAAATTTGAATACATTTTTTATCCAAAATGTGACAAAAAAGTAAAAATTACATTTTAATAATATGTTCATGTTCTGTCATTTTAGGTAGCATTCTGCTAATTAACACCAAAAATGAATTTATTTGTACACTTTTTCAAAATTAGGTATCGAACATAGTCAGAAGGGTATGAAACGTAATTGTAATTATTTAAGAATACTGGAATTATCCTGATATATTTTGTTTCCTTAGTTTTTGGGTTAATAGTTTTATTTTATTGGTTTTTCACTAAATTATTGATCTGAAAACCAGTGCTTCAATGCTAATTTTGGTTTGTTAAATTTAATCGGAAAATTTGTGAAATAATTTTATGTGTAAAATCAGTAGAGCTAGTGAAGCAGATTTTTGCTGTGTCACTCTATTTTCAAAGTACAGGAAATGTCCAATATTCTCGAAGCTTTTTTTGTTGTTTTTTATCTTAGGAGGAGTAAGTGTACGTGATGTCTTTTAGTAAAGGTCAAGGTTTGGTGTGAGGTTATGCAAAAAGGTGAACAGGCTTTGGCATAGTACTGTTCATCGTTGGCTATTGTTTTTTCTGGTTGCAATTGCGCATAGGGTTGTTTTTGACAGACTTAATGAAATAGTGGAATTATAGTCCTTAAGGGAGTGTAAATCTGGAAAATCGTGGTATCTTGGATTTTCTTTTATGATCTTGTGAGAACTTATGGTGTGCATGATTTTATAAGGGACAGCGATAGAGAACATATGTATGCAGTTTTGGTGAAGCGGATTTTCGATAGCCTTAGGGATAGGTGAAGATGAATTTATCTTATACAGGAATCCAGTGAGAGGTATATGAATAAAATTTTATTAGCTTGTCAACGCTATGACTGAATGTGTATATGAAGCTCGTTGGAAAATTACTATTGACTTTCTGCACATGTAGTCTGACCCCATGAGTTATGAAAGAGGTAATTTTGCACAGAGTTCCATATCCAGAATCATCCACCTGAAATGTGCTAACGCATGTGTAGTGTTTCTAAAGTATTTCCCATCAGCAGTGGTGATTAAATATTGCTCTAGTTATACCAGTGTGATAATAAGCACATATTCTTCATACCTGCGTTACTTACATTTTGTGTCTCAACATTGCTGATCTAGTGATGTTTTTTTGGCCCTTCCATGGACTAGATGTCTAAATCCAGAGTGATCTACTTCCAATGTTCCTGTCAGGGGCTTCTCGGAGACACCAGACTCTTGCAGGGAGACTTTCGTACTGCAGAACTACCGGTCTAGTTTTAGTTCCTGACCCATCAAATAAGTTATCCCAAAACTTTATAGAGAAAGAAGGGAATAGTTATTAGAATTAGATTTCCTTGAAGCTTCAAATATTCCTAAAAATCTACCTTAGTTATATGAATTGCAATCCAATTCATGAATAGATTCTAATCTATTATTTGTTAATATTTACTTCTGATTTTTCTTTTGCTGAATAAATATCCTCCAGCATACTGCATGCATTCTATTAATTTTGATGGTTTAGTTTTGGGATTCTTTCTTGTGTGAAATACGTTTAGCTCCTTGAAAAATGAGAAACAGCTTTGCCTGATTTTTTTTAAAGTCAATTATTTATGGATTTTCAGTGAAGTCAGTACCAATCCAAGACTGGATTTTTGTCCAGTTTTATAATTGGGCTGTGTATATAAAATTTACTATTTTAATGAAAAGACCATTGTGTGATTTTAATATCTAACTATATACTTATTTTTTTTACAAAAATAATCAAGCATTTTGTAATCTTTAGCCCTTTTTTGTAATATGTTTTTACCTGTACAGTTATAAAATTGTATTTTCGAGTAGAAAATTATTATCGACTTGAGGATTTGAGGATTATTAAAAATTCTTCAATACAATGTAGTTGGATAGTTAATTTCTTTCTCAGTAAATAAAAATTTAGAGCTTTAAAATAATGGCAATTTACTTTTGATATATTCTAAAGTAAGTTTATAAAATTTTTAATTTTTAGGTATTTGATGCTGTGGTAGTACTGGTTGCATTTGGACTCGATATTGCATTTTTTGTTGCCCCCACTGAAATTGCCGTTGGCAAGGAATCTGCAATTTTAATAATTCTTTTACGATTGTGGCGTATTAATCGAATCCTTCAAAGTAAGTTGCATATTTTTTATATGGACTGTCAAAAATAAACTAAAAAAATCCCTGGCCATTTTATTTATTTGCTTATTAATTATTTTAGTTGTATATTGATATACATATATTAGTCAAAAAAGGTGGGAAAAGTATAGTAAGTAAATCTAGCAGTGTGTGTTTGACTGAAATAAAACACAAGTACACGATGAATTCTCTTTTTGAAAATAGAATCTGTTTTTGATTAGCAGTGTACAGATTTGAAATTTTGTAATGATTTGCAAAAGTTTGCTATAAAAGCATATGACATGTTGCAATAAACCTATGTTGAAGATGTTTTTCCATAATGAGCCACAGTTTGGTAATTTAATCTGTTAACTGAGTATGACGAAATTTTTCGTCATGCTGGGAAGACTATTTCAATGGGTATGATGAAATGTTTCGTCATGCTGGGAAGACTATTTCAGTGGGCATGACGAAATTTTTCGCCATGCTGGGAAGACTGTTTCAATGGGCATGACGAAATTTTTCTTACATTTTTTTTGCAATCTGTCACTTGACCGTTGTTCAAGAAAAATCGATCAATGGAAACACTTGTCCGCTCATAAATTGTGATAACACTCCTAATTTGCACAACTTAATTTCATTTTAGTCTGCATTTCCGTATTTTACATATTAGTAATAACTTGTTGATTTGAGTAATTGTTAGTTTTTTATAAATATGGCTAAAAATTATTGTGAAGCAGAAAATATTTTTGAATTGTCTGAAAGTGACGATGAAATATTGCCCGGGACGGTTTGGTAAACGACGTCGAATTCTAAGAATAAGTACCAGTTCGGAAGAAAGCGATAACGACTTCTTTACTGATGGTCCGGACATTGAATCAAAGGATGATGATGTTATAGACCAAAATACTCAACCGACATCAGCTGAATGGAAATGTGAAAGAATATTGCGATCGCCTTTCCCGTTTTTATCTCAATCTAGACTTACATTTGAAGGACCTGAAGAAAAGGATTGCCTTTTTTATTTCGAGAAATTTATCGATGAGAATTTTGTAGAACTTATTGTGGAACAATCAAACAAATACGCCGGACAGTTTTTTGAAAAAAATACTTCCATGAAACTGCCGCGTTCAAGATGTCCGAGAGATGAGAGTATTTATTTTTTTACTAATTTTGCAAGGAATAATAGGAAAACCTTCTTATCAGCTTTATTTCACAAAGCGAGAAAGTCTGGAGACTCCATTTTTTTATAAAATTATGTCAGAAAAAAGATTCCAACTGTTAGTAAAATTTTTACATTTTAGTGATAACAATGCTTTTGATCTAAAAGTGTGCAACAAAAAAAACCTACAAAATCGATTCCATTTTGAACTATTTGAGAAACAAATTCAAGGTGTTATACGTACCAGATAAGGAAATATCTGTAGATGAGTCTCTTTTGCTATGGAAAGGAAGACTGTCTTGGAAACAGTACATTCCATCGAAAAGAAGTCAATTTGGTGTTAAATTGTATAAGATATGTGAATGTAAATCCGGATACATAAGTGATTTCATTATATATACAGGTAAAGACACGCAGTATGGTTCGAACTATCCAGAAGAACAGGGACCAAATCGTATTGTTCTTGAATTGTGCCACGATTTGTTGGATAAAAGATATACGCTATACCTCGATAATTGGTACACTAGTACTGATCTAGCTGAGAAGATGTGCAGAAAAAAAAACCGATGTTGTAGGAACAATGCGAAAAAATAGAAAGGGAATACCATCTAATATCAAAAATTGTGTTTTGAAAAAAGATGAACATATTGCTAGGTACAGAGACAAAATAATGATTATGAAGTGGAAAGACAAAAAGGATGTAATTATATGTGTACTATCCACGACAATAAATTTGTAGAAATAGAAAAAAACGAAGGAAAACGATATCAAAACCGGAAAGTTATCGCTGACTACAACAAAAAATATGGGAGGAGTTGATCTTGCTGACGGACAAATGAAAACTTATGAAATCGCTAGAAACCAAGTAAAAAAGTATTACTATAAGATATTTTTACATGCACTAGACATGGTGGGTTTGAATGCATATCTTTTATACAAGAAAGATGGCGGTCACCTAGATAGGCTTCATTTCCTTATCGAAACTGTAGAAAAGGTGTTGAAAAATATGAGACGGATCGCAGTTGCCATCTACTAGTACAGGACGATCATCTTTGACACCAAAACCATCTCGACTCTTTTGAAAGACATTTTGCAGACTATATACCATCCGACTCTTCAAGAGTAAATGTAACGAGGAGATGCAAATTATGCTATTCCAAAGGTCTTAGGGAAAGAATCGAGATTTTGGTGTCCCGACTGCAGTGTTGCTTTGTGTATGCCGCATTGCTTTAGGGAATATCATACGAAATAATTGTTTAAATTCGTTCAATTAATTTGTTTTTCCGGATTAAAAATGTTTAATTTTAATATTTAATATCATTAAATATTTTAAAACGATTTTCTTTTATTTATTCCTTGCGATGTGCTGAAATTACTGCAAAGAAAATTCCCCATTGTGAAACGATTTTACTGAAAGCTTATTCCCCAGTTAACAGGTTAAACAATGGATGGCTGCATTTCCTTTTCAAAATGAAGATGTTCGGGTATTCTTCAAGCACATTAAATGTCATGATAAGCATAGCTACTGTCATTGTTTGAGAAGACTGCCAAGTAACAATGGATAGAGTAGTGGAGAGCACTCTATCCATTGTGATAGTTTCTTGTAAAAGAGATGTGTCTGTGTGAGATAGGCAAGATTATTGTTTAATTCTGAATAGAAACAAGTATGAATAAATGTGTTTTGGAAACTTCAGAATTTGGTAGTATGGTGAGGTGTACTTAATCCATTATTATTACTGATAAGTTTGGTTACATCACTGTGATACAAAAAGCAAACAGAGAAGCATAGCATGAAAATCATTAAATTTTCCTTCTTCAGAAAAGGCCAAATTTGTAAATACAGTTCAAAAAGCAATATGTATACAGTACAAAATCCGTAATCTGGACGTCTATTATCCAGAATGATCTACAATCTGGACCTCAAAGCCACAAACTTTTTTTTAATGCTTTACGAATGCACATAATGTGTTTACACATGCGTGTTTAATGCATAACGGACGGTATAAGCAAGGTTAAAATTACCTTTACTGATTCTAAGGCATTTCAGTTAATGTTGCAGATTGCACTGTTCCTTAATCTTTTAATTGGATCCAGCTTATTATTTTTTGCAGATTGTTAGAGCAATTTTATAAAAATTAAGCTTGAACAGCTTAAGCTTTGATTATGTCAAAAAGAGTTTCCAATTCTGGAGCTGCCAAAGGATCTACAAAGCAAAAGCATGTTTCGATGTACTGCCTCTGATATACCGCTTCTGATAGTGAAGAAAGTGACAAAGAGATTATTGAAAACGGAAAAATTTTGATTGACAAGTTAGTCGGTATTCTCGACACAGATATTACAGGACTTGAACAGTGGAACTTTGTATCTGATTATGTCTGTTTATAGAATTAAAGAGAAAGTATTAGCACAAAAAATGAAACTTAAACAACTTGCATTGAAAGAAATGTTTGATTAAAGTAAACAAATAAATATTAAGCTTTTTTTTTTTTTTTGTTTGTTTGTTTTTGTTTTGGTGTGTGTAAATTTTGATACCCTTTAGTTCGTAATTGCTCTTTATTTTATAAATAACGGTTTCATATTTTTAATTGTATAATTTCTGCATGCCATCTTACCAGATGTAAATTCATGATCTATAATCTGGAAAAACCTGTAATCCGGAATCGCCGAAGTCCCGATCAGTCCGGATTATGGACTTTGTACTGTATATATTTTTAACTTGTCATTGAATGGCTTGTCTGGCATTTTGTGCCTTCCTGAGGAGATAACTGTTATTGAGCAGTATTATATGATAGTTTTGAATACATTTGGTGAAAGTGAGTTGAGCTGCGTGCATTTTTTTTTTTTTTTTTTTTTTTTTGCTTACATCAGGATAATTGCATGGCCTCACATTTCGAAGGTTGTTGTTCAGTGTTTGGCTCAAAAGTAATTGAATATGTGCACATCCTCTTGAGGATCCAGGCTTGTTCTCTGCAGCTATTTCTTTCTTCTTCTTTTTTTTATTATTTTTATTTACTCATCTGAAGTCAGAGTTCTGAGGTTTGATATTATACAATGATAATTTTAATATCAAAAAGAGACAATCAGAAGTGATGTGAAAAGATAGCTTCAAGAATATTATTTTTAATAAAAGTCTATAATTTCATATTCCATATCATTATTTCAAAAAAAGAAGGGGGTACTTCGTCCAGACATCCTTTAATATATTTCAAGCTCAATCAGTAAGTAATCATTCTTTCTCTCTCTCTCTCTTTTTTTTGGGGGGGGGGCTAGCTTCTATATTTTGCTGAGAACTTATGTTTTAAAAATCAAATTAGTAACTTGATGATATTATTATACCAATTGAAAGAGAATTCCATTGGGGTTTAAAAACATAGTGTATTTTAATATTTTTTATTATTGTAGTACCTTTAATTAAAATATTAAAATTAAAAACTTCAGTTCTTTGAAAGGTACAGCTCGTAGCAAACCATAACATTAATATTTATGTAGAAATTATTTTAAAAGTTTGAGACTTTTGGATATTTTATGATTTGAAAAGGAAGTATTGTATTGTACTTTTATATTAGTTGAAGTTCCAGCATTGAATTGCAGTGTTATTTAGCAGATGTTTTGCATGTTTATTGCTTGAAATGATTTTTAACTATGGCATTTATCACAAAGAAGCAGGATTTTTAATGGCTGCACTGCACTGCTGCCTTATGTTTGATGTTTTGCTGAAATTTTTATACAGTCAAATACCGAAAATCCGCGTTGCCTCTCAGAATATAACCATTCAGTTTATAGGTTCCGGAAACCGCAACATTGAGTACGAAATATCGAAGAAAACAATACTTACCGAATAATAATGAGTCAAAACGGAAATACCAAATTATTGATATAAAAAAGTTTTAAAAAATAAGATATAGTAAATAAGTTTTATTTTCCCTCTAATCTGCATCGAGGTAAAAAAGCAGCACAATTCACTCAACTCTTTGTTCAAGTTCATGATTCATGTTGTTGTATTTTCTGAGCTTTGTTATTTCATTTCACGAGATTGTTTAGTGCTGCCTTTTTTTTTATCTGGATATATTGTGGATAAATTAAGAATATTTTTTAATTTCACCTCTTTTTAATACAATGACAGATAAGAAATGCACTCGTGATTTTACTGCTTGCAACATTGAAAAATGTAAACACGTTGCATTGACGGTAACACAAAAAGGTGCAAATTCTGAAAAAGATGGAAGCAGGTGCTACTCCTTGATTTATAGCAGAATGGTTATGGAATTGTGACATGATTATGTATGATATATGGAAAAATAAAGAAAAGCTGTTGAAATTTTACAGCAACTGTGATTCTAACACCGAAATCCGAAACTGGAAATCTTTGCATGAGGCGAAATCGGCAAACCTCGATGCTGTGTACATATAATTCAATGAATAATATAATCAATTTATATATGTAATAATAATTTAATGCATATAATAAATTATTGCAATAATGTATATAATAATTTAATTAAATGTATCTAATACGCCTTATTCATTTTGCACTTTGAGTCTGAATATTATCTTTCCTGTCCTGAAATCCGCAAAATCCTAAAATCCGCACAACCTCTGGTCCCAAGCTTTGCGGATTTCTGGAATTCTACTGTATTTCAGTTTCACCTTTCAAATGATAAAATATGAAATAATAGTTTTACAAAGTGATAGCAATGGGTATTAGTTTAGAGAGAGAAGCTATTTTTTTAATAAGATAAAAAAGAGTATTTGTATGATTTTGTGTTTTTATTTCAATGCAGTTCAGTTAGTGGCATTTGGAATCTTAACAATTCCTGTTTAGTTTACATATATACAGCTTATTAGTGACCAGAAAATCCCTGAAAGCAAACAAATCTGACCCTTATGTCACTGGTGCACATTACAGGCGTATATAAGAAAAAGCATAACAGAGCTTGGGTTTTCAATAGAAATGTATATTAGCTACAATGATTGAAGTGGACAGACAAGAGTAGTCTTAAGTCTGAAAGAGAAGAGAATCAGATAAAATAACATGGCCCTTGTATCACTCATGTCATGGCAAACTTCAGATACCTTGTACAACAATAGCACATAATAATGAAATGAAATTGTGAGGGAGTAATAAAATGAAGTAAGGCAATGGAGATGTGAGGGGCCCTAGGCTTGAGCTGAGGAAGTCAGAATAAGAAATTTTGTTTGATGCTGTGACCACAGATTTCTTATTAGCATCTGGAAGTAATGCTGGTGCTCATCCCATGCAAACATAAATGAAACAATGGAAAAGCATCATGTGAAGTAATGAATCACATTACATGTTGCAGAATTCTGATGGGCATATATAGGGATCTGGTAGATACCAGATGAGTGTAAACAGTGTGCTGTGTTCTTACTGTGAAATTTGGTAAAAGAGGAACTATAGTGTGAGTCTATTTTTCTCAGTTTGGTTTTTAGTCCACTGTTATTTATGTCTTCAACCCTGAATGCCAAATTTATGAGGCAGTAGGGACAATTCTATTTTATCAATTTTGTTGAAACAATTTAGAACAAACTCTTATCATTGACAACAAAACGTGTATGTTAATGTGATTGCCATAACTGTGTAGCTTGCAAAAATAATAGTAATACACTCACCTCGCTAGCCCAAACCCTGATCTGAACACAGTCTAGCATTTTTTGGGACAAGTTAAAAGCACCAGTTGAGACCAAACCAAAACATCACAAAGTCACCACAAGACTGTTTGTCATGTTATAGGAGGGTAGAAGAAAGTACCCGTAGACATTTACCAAAACTTAGTGGAAAAAAAGTGTCTGTGATAATTCTAAGACAGACATATATTGTATTGATGTGATACCAATTTATGTTAAGTAGCTGCATGTGTGTGTCCATTTATTAATGACAATGTAGTGTATTTGAAATATGTTACTCACTATTTATTAAAAATGTTTCAGTTTAATTATAAATGATAAGTATTAAATATTTCTATTTACAAAAAATTGAATTTAGAGGTTTGATGGAATTGTTAGTTTGATGTGCAAAAATATTAGTTGCCATCTTTTAGGTACTAAACTGAAGTATATGCCTTTCTTTCCAATTTTGTCATTCTGTCCTCTTCAAGTCTAGCCCCACATTTTATAATCAATTAACTGTTTTTTCATATGCCATCACATCTTATGAGCATTTTTCCCCCCTCCTGTAGGTGTCATAGATTCTGCCAAACAGAAATTATCTAATACTATTAGTGTATATCAAAAGGAAAAAGTACATTCTGATCAAAAAGTTGATCTCTTGATTTTGAAAGTGGAAGATTTAGAGGTAATTTGTAACTTTTTTCATTAATTTTTTAGTACAGTATTTTATTTATCTGATAATCTTGTGAAGACCTAATTGAAAATTTTTATATTTCCTGATATTCATTGAAAAACTATCATATGCCTAAGCTAATGAGTATATTTATTATCTTTTATAGAAAGTTGATAACATTTTATAATAAGGAATTTGAAAATAAAAAGGATCTTGTTTAATATATATTTACAGGTTTTACTTTTTGTCCACGAACAGATCCGTTGCATGCTTCTGCATATTGGCAAAAATAGTTAGTTCTCTTATAAAAAAACCTTGAACTGTTTTTATCTATGTGTAGAAGAGATCAGACCATGCAAAGAGTATTGGAAAAATATGTAAATTTTTATGTTAGAAATGCGTATAAAAATTCTAAATGTCATACAAACTTGATTCATTATTATTAGTTAAGCCCTTACCAGTTGTCACTCAAATCCATTTCGGGTAGCCCAGTCTCGTCAAATTGTGAATGTTTGAACTGACCTTTGCAAGAGAATAATCATTGTTTCTATTCTGTGAAACCCAAAAAGAGCTCATTTTCTCTTATCAAATGCTTAATGCAATGTAATTCACTGTTTTGTCAAAAAATTACAATCATTGTTCCACATTTGGTTGGGTGGAATTAGCTGTAAAGCCACCCATCAAGAGTGAAAGAGTAAAAAAAATGCTTCCATTTTGGACACATATTCCTGTAGTATACATGTACAGGTAATGTAATAAAAAATGCATGCAGAAAATATTTCATGTGTGTCCACTTTGATGTATAATAAAACTTTATTATAGGCATCTTGTGCTGTATGTAAATTTGGTCTATGCCATTTTCCTTATGTGGTAAATGTGAATGAATAACTTTTTCAATTTGTGAATGAAAATAGGAGGATTTTTTGTGCTGTGATAATACCATTCAGTATTTCTTTTCTGCAAATTTCAGAGAAGGTTAATTATAATTCTGAAAAGGCAATAGATTTGTTTTGCAGAATGCTTTGAAGCATGCAAAGAATTCTGTGATTAAAAACAATTTATCAAGCAGATAATTATATAAGTTAATATAAGTTTAAGTAAAGAATGTTAGCATTGTGTTTGAAGACCTTTTTCACATCAGTCAAAAGTGAAGGACAGATCTTAACTTTTGCTTGTAGTGCAGGAAAACAAAGATATTACAGACTTAACCCTCTGGCTGATCATCCCGCGATTTCCACGGGCATGTTTTTCTTCCTGTATTGAGGAGCACATCCCGTTTTTTTCCTGTTTAACCATTGAAATAAATTATATACAGTATTAGGCGTTTAGTTTACGTTTTGGCCAACAAATATCATTAATTTTCCACTAAGTTGCAGCATTTGAAGGCACGTTGTATTAGCCCTCAAACTTCACTTTTTGCCACCTTTTTTTCTTTCAGAAATGGCTGCTTGGAAACGTTCAGTGATTATCTTGATTATTTAATTAAATTATTGGATTATTAATCATATTTATTGATTATATTAATAATTAGATTTATTGGATCAGGTGCAAAGAACTTGGACTTTGCCTTGAACCCTGTTTTGAACTCTATCATACTAAACTGCATTTCTAAGGTATTTTTCCCTAAGCGCTTTATATTTTCTTAAATTTTATACATTTTACTTTTTTATATTATGCAATAAATAGAAATAAACTGTAATTTGACTGAAATTTATTTTAAAAAAGTGTTTTTTTTTTTTTTTTTTTTTTTTTTTTTTTTTGTGATAACATCTGAAATTAGTTTTTCTGGCAACTTAGTTTCTCATGATAAAAATCTATGTAAAAAATATTTTCTAGAAAGAAAAAGTGCATTTTTTCAATTCTCCAATATATATAGATTTAAAATATTAAAAAAAAAAAGTACACAATTTTGGAAGCGATTTTGGTCTACAAATTGAGCAGTCAGAGGGTTAAAAGAGTCTGAAAAATTACTAAATTGAACTGAGTTGTTAGGTAAACAAAAATACTGGAGACTAAAGTTTGGAAGGTAGTAGTCATCTTCTCTCTTCTAAAACCTAGTCCCCAGCATCTTTAACTGCCTGTAACTTAGCTAAGTTCATCTTCAGCACTGCCATTAGTAACAAGGTACATTAAGCCTTCCACTGAGTTTGCTATCTTCTCACTTTTGACATATGAAACTATGCTACATATTATTTCAGTATGTTCTGGACTGTGAATCTTATATGATGCAGTTCGGTAAATTTTGCTTGAAGGTTTTAAGAGTACTAAAAAAATTTAACTGTATAAATTATTCACAATTGCTTCTTTTCTTTTTATGCTTTAGGAAAGGTTTTAAGGAATTCCAACTTTTTAAAGCAGAAGAAAGTATGTAAACAGCAGGAGGTCCCCCACCAGTATAAAGAGCAGCTTTGAGATTTATTAACCCAACACATACTTATACTGGTTTCTATTATTTTTGTGGAAGCCATGGTGGACTAACATTCCTGGGCAACTAATAAGATATGCTGGATTTCAGTTTCTTGAATGTAGAGAAAAAGCTGCTGAAGAATTGCTTTATTTTTGCAGCACCATTATAACATGATCTGGCATTCCTGGATGTCTTACAAATATGCAGGGTATACCTCATATACTTGAAGAAACAACAAAAAAGTTATTTTTCAAAGGTCCTTTATAGGAGAATTCTTTCTGAACAAATGAGGAAGCAAGATGGAATTCTCTTTCACTTATGAGGCCAATGCCTTTGATGACCACTTCATTGAATGGATTTGGAGATAACCAACATTTACAGTATGGCTTCTTTATCATCAGATGTTTTACCAAGAGATTTCAAATGTATGGAGGCAGAAGAACGTAGAATAAGTTCTGGTAGAATAACCTGTAGATATATGTCATTGGAATTCAAGTTGAATTTTGAACTACAAACCTGAAAATATGTTGCTAGCATAGTAAAATAGTGCAGCAACTCAGACCCTCAGCAACTACATAGCTGCTTTCTTACTTTGGACTGATGTAACTAAATATGGAAGGAGCAGGATACAAATAGTTCTTATGCAACTTAGTATGCTTATCCCTCAAATGCTTTCCTTAGCGTACACCCATGCTATATGGGTATAAATGTAATGGTAAAGAGCTGCTGTTTAGCTTTTCAAGATCAGACAGATCTTTGACTATTAATTTCCATACTCCATTATGTTGGAAAAAAATTATTTGTTGCTACTATTCAGCACTGAAACAGTATATTATATTTTGCAGTATGCAATACCTGGAGAGCTGGATTAACCATGAAGCAAAATATACATATGCGTAGGGCATCAAGGAGAGAGGGTACCACAAAAATTTCTCATAACTGTTTTTACTATGGAATATGGCTTAACCAAGATATTTATTTTTAAAAAAGGGGGAGGAATTGGGGGATCTGCCATAAATGTATGTGGGGGCACCAAAATTTTGTAAGTGCTTAGGGCTTTTAAATGTCTTGATCCAGCATGACTAATTGGCTCAAAAGAAATGTTATGAACATTAATATTTCATTGAAACACCTTTAGCAAAGTTACAGCATGTTTCAATGAGTTAATGCATAAGTCCGCACACTGGCCAGTGTTGCATTTTCAATCTCGGAAGATTATTGATGAAGGAAAAATTAATCATGCTTTAGATGTTTCTGTGGTATAGCCTCCTACGCCGGATTGAGATCAGACTTTGTCATGACTAATTTAGGTGTATTAATAATGTTTTAAGCTCTTTGAACTAATCTTTTACAGTTTAAGCTTGAGGAATCTTGGATAATCTTAGGGTTATTGTCCTGAAATACACCATTGCTTTAAGGAAGAAATATGTGCTGAGGATTATTCAATGTGCTCAGATACTTAGCTGATTTCATTTTATTGTTGTGTGGTGCTGCTAAGAGTAGTCCAGCCAAATAAAAATACCCTAAATCATAACACATGCTCTTGAATATTGTATACTGTGTAGAAAATGTGTGTGTGTATAGATCGTCTCCTTCTCTTCTGATACATCTATCATGAAGAGTGTAAATATGTCAGTGTTCAGCATACTTTTTATAATTTTAATTTTTGATACAATGTATAATGCAGAATATAATATATTTTATTATTTTGTTGTTGTTAATGTATTACTCTACATAATTTGATTAATTAATGCATGCTGTAGTTATCGATACTGCACAAATACAATGCTCAGCATAGTATTCACTATTATTTCCTCCTGCACAAATCTGCATTAAGTGTTGGAATGTATTGTCCATTGGCCCAGCTATATCATCAGTATATATATTTAAGAAAACATTCTGAGTTTTTGCATCTAGATAATTATTTGTCATTAATAAATTGTGGTGAATTCTGACATATGTTAACTTTTGCTATTTAATAACTAAGTGGAAAATAGCCCATATATAATAACTCTTACTTTTATTGAACTAAAGCTGTAATGTACAGCTATTAACTTCTTGAATGGCTTGGACCACCTTTATCCTTGGTATTATTATGAGATTTTTTGTCATTTGTTTGTATATTGCGTTATTATATAAAATAATAAGTCTTCGTTTCTTTAATGATCTAAATATTAATTTATTGAATGGAAGATTTCAAAAACATAAGACTAAAATAATTAATTGCACAAATTTGCCAAACAAATGCTGTTTAAATAAGCAAATACAAAATGCTTGCCATTCAGAAGATTTAAGGCACAGGGGAGCATTACTCATTAAATATTGTTTTATTTTCAGCATGAAGTGGCATACCTAAAGGAGAAATTAAAGAAGACTGAAAAGGAGCCTTTGTTCATGAAACGTCGCAAAGCAAAGGAATCCTCATCTTTACCATTTCCTTTGCCATCTTCTATCGTTATTCCCCCTGAAACCTTTCGATTACCAACTTCTCAGTCCTTGAATGTTGATTGTCACAGCCCATTTCAAGTCAGAGGTATGTGCTTATGAATACATCTAGTATTAGATTCTTAATGCTGGTATAATATATGTGATAACAGTATAACAATATAAAAAATTCATATATGACTGAACTATTTTCTGTTACCTGTCACTTTAAAAACATTTAATAAAATATATATATATATGCTGATATGCCACTTATACTATGCTAATACTCCACTTATGCTATGCTGAAACTGAAAATTAGTAGACTTTTAAAGGTGGTAACACTCTTTTAATCTAGAAAGGAATTTGGGGCTCCCTTGAAACACAACGCTCCTTAGGATTGCAACTTGAGACCCCATAACTCCTCTTCAGGCTAAATTTTAGAATTTGAGAGTAAAATGTTCACTTTTAAGGGAGGAAAAAAAAATCGTAACTGAAGAATTCCATGAAAGTCTATAAAACACTTGGTTGAAAGAAAAGTCTTTAAGAGTTCATAAGCTAAAAATACATGAGTGTTTTAAGATCCTTAGAATAGGAATAGTCCATGAATGCCATAAGTTACTTAGTAGATATATATTCCATTAATGCATAACAGTTATATATTCCATTAAAACTTGGCAAGATAGTATGGCCTAGAATAATTGTGTAATATTCTGGAAGATTAGGATTATCCTTTTGAATGCTTTTAAGACAACTGAAAGATAAAAGGATCCATGAAATCCCACAATGCTTGGGAGTGAAAAAGTTGAGTGAAAACTTGTAAAGTACTTAGCAGACAAATGTGTAAAATCTGGGAAAGTACTCACTCATAAGAAAAGTTACCAGATATCTGAGATTGGCATGCTTGGTCCTAAAAGAAAAATGTTTGGGATTTTTGAATAAATAGTTTCAAAAGTTGAAGAAAGAACCTTCATAATGCTTTCACTAAAATCCAGGTAATCTGGAATAAAATCAGCTAATTTTTATGATCTTGCGGTGAGTAATTTTATTAATGCTTTTTTTTTTTTTTTTTCATCTTCACAATTCTTTCTGTACTTTATAGTATTCTGTTGAAGCTTCTTGCATTTTCCTTTCACTTCTTCATACCAAATTTTGTTTGACGTGCAGAGAGCAAGCTTATGCTAAGCTTGGAAGTCATAGGCAATTTTAACGTCAAATTTAACTTTTTTTATATTGTCCTGAATTCTCTTTTTTGAAATACAACAACTCTGCATAAGATGGAATTTTCTTTTATTCATTTTGCCATGTATGCAAGACATCTTTGAGTTCTTAAATCAAGATTGGTGCTTGTTATAATTCCTTTTTTTTACTGTCTTCGTCAATAACATTAAATTCAGAGTTTCAACAACGAAAATTATTCTGATATACTTATTAAATCTGACACTGTACTTACGATGAGCATATTATACTATGTGAGCGAGATGAAAAGGTTTATGAATGCATACAAGATAGATTGCCATTATCATGAGGAAAAAAACACCATGTAAATTTCTATCTGAGTGCACACATACAAGTAATTCAAATGGCTGCATTTGCAAGAAATCAGATGATTAACATGTAGAATATAAATATCCAGGTAATGTGAAGCCAACACTTTTGGCTTCATCTTGGCTATAATGTGCAAATTGTTCTGTTGTTCATGAGGCTATTATGTTAGACCTCCAGATCACTAGGTTATTCTTAAAGTGTATTGTGGGAGATCATGGAAGTTGTTGGCCCGATTTAGTGATTATGGACCCAGGAAGGAACTGTGCAACATCCATAAGGATTGGAGTAAGAAGATGGACATTAGAGTGCATTACTTGTTGCATATGTAGTCATGCTGTATCTGAACCACAGTTTGCAACTGATGATAAAATACAAAGTGTACTGGATGACTGCACTGCTTCAGTATGGATATGTATGCTTTTGAGGTGATTAGCTGATGTAGATTTAGTGTCCAACTGTTCTTTTTGTATGCTTCCATTAACAGCAACTCATCATCATGAATATTTGCAATTGCGTTGCAGCAGAGTTGTTTATAGTGCCAAATGGGGCAGTGTAGTCTTCAATGATGAACTTCACTTCTGCTTCCCAAATGATGATCGGCATATGACAGCAGTGGTGTGCCTGTCAAGCAGATGCCTCAGTAATTTCTTAACTACATCCAGCCTGTGAACATGGAATAATGGTTTGGGATGTTAGTAATACTAACAGCCATTCTTCTCTAATGCATATTGATGAGATGCAGTTGTATTGATGGATATGGGGCAGCTCCATATCTTCAAAGCATCTGAAACGCCATTAACCTAACAATTCACAGTCTAGCTCACACCAACTGCCATACACAGTCTCACAGTGCCATACACTCACACCCACTCCTAGCCATACGCAGTCTAGCTCACATCCACTGCAAAGTGGGCAAGTGCTTCTTTGGTCAGCTGATCCCTCAGTCACTCACCAATTTGCATTTGTGTGATATGACTGGATATTGACTGAACACTTCTCCTCTTTTAAGAACGAGTGTAAACTGTGGGTCACAACAACAATGTGTAATGCACGATACCATTGGACATGATTTGAACACTCATTGGTTCGATGTAATAACATGTTCAAGAAGATATTGTCCAAAATGTCATTGCAACATTTTATTAATGCCAATATCTGTATATCTCATTATCGTACATGTTTGAAAACTAAAAGTTCATGATTATTTATTTTTATGAATAATATTAATAATAATAACCATTGCATGAAATAGAATGAAACTCAGTTACCTTTTCAATCTTATTAGGATTAAATTCCACGTGCCTTATTCTCTCTATCTCACATTTTTCATCCAAAATCTTCTTTACCTTGACATCCTGTAAATTTATGGCCTCAGTAGTAGAAGCCTCAGGGAAAAGGAAAACAGTTCCCACCAGCTTTGTGGTTCTGGAAAGTGGAGTTTTGTCTGATTCATCTGTTACTCCGGGACTCACACCATCAACATTGGGGTTATGGGCGGAGCCTCCGGAACCAATAGAAGCCTCATGGATATGTACCTAATCAATATTATTCATTATTTAGGTACAAAGTTTGCTCTGTTTTCAGTCGTTATTCCTTAGTGTGGCATTTTCTTTGTCATGCAGTGTATTTTAATATCAGTATATTGTTCATTATTGCTTCAGGGTACTTCTAAATATATATATATAAGCATTTATTTTTCATAGATATTCAGTATCATAAAATTTGAAAGTGTCAAAGAATTTATTTAATTAGAAATATTTTTGTACGTTTTTACTCATAGTAATGTCTTTTGTTGTGTGTCATGTTCTGTTTCATTTATTATTTGTTTATATTAATTATTTTACAATGTCAGAGCTGAAAGACAAAGTCACCCTATTTGCCGAAAATGCTGCCACGATAATCGTTGACGAAGCCTTGCTGTTGGCTTCGCACATACGTTCGCCTACCGATCTCCCACCTCCAAGAGTGAGCAGTCCAAAAAATAAAGTGGGCACAAAACTCCGTAGGCGGCCAGACGGTAGTCTAGAGAGTGGTTATGGATCGGCTTCAAGTTCCATTAACTGGAATAAAAATCGCCCACATACCAGGTAAGATTATCATAACTTACATTGTGAAAATTAACAATTTTTACTTTGTTTTATTTTTCTTGACTCATATTTGGTTGTGTGGATCAAATATTGAAATTCTGGAAGGCAAAGGGCAAAATAAAAAAATAAGAAATCATTAAAAAAGTGGAGACTACATTTGATGTAAATTTGTAGCTCTTCGTCAGAGAGCAGATTGCAACTTCTCATAGTCAAGTGTTTCTCTAAATTTATTTCTGGAAGAATTTAAAAATAAATAAAGTAAAGAATAATTTAGAATATATTTTAAAGCTAATACACAAAATTAAAAGCTAAGCTCATTTCAGAAAAACATCTCTTCAAAGTGAAACCAAATATAATTACAAATTCAAGAATGAAAAAAAGTTGGCAAAAGTATGGGCAACCAATTTTTTTTTAAATTTGTAACGAAATATATGCATTTGTTTAAAACTTATTTGAAATAGATTTAAAAGAAATTATTTACTACATTACTTTGAGTTTAAGCCGCAGTATGATATTTAAAATTTGAAAGCCAGGGAAAATAATAAAAAATATCCACAATCGTAGTACTTTATGCATGTCTCTAGAATAATTGGCAGAATTAAGATGATAAAATATTCACATTGAGTTCAAGCCACATCCGAGGTTTATACCTCAAAAATCTAAATAAGATGTAGCTTAAATTTGAAACTAGTAATTATAATAATTGTAAAATTTATTTTTAAAATGCCAAAAGCAAAACAATGACAGTATAAGCAGTTGAGAAAAGACTGGGATTTTGTTAAGTCAAAAGAACTTGTATTAATACAGTTAGGTACAAAAATTATAATACAGATTTAAATATACCTGTAAAAACTTAATTTAATCCAAGGTAAAATGTGGGAAACAAAAATTTTTCATATAAGAAAGTATGTTATTTTTTTTATCCAAACATCAATTTCATAAAAAAAAGGTACAGCAGCAAAAATCTGAACATTCAGAAGAATTGTAAAATCAGTGTTAAAGGGGGGGGGAGTTCAGATTTTAATGATTGCCCGAAAGGATATGTTAAGGTTTTTTACACTCTCACAGAACTCGCAGTCTGGTGTTGCACTCACTCTTGCTAATCCATTTCTATTTGCCTTTTTTAGCTTTATTATTAAGCACTTCAACAGCAAAATTACAAAAAATTTTAAAGCAGCATATGTTTAGAACTCCCTATCCAATGTTAAGTGTAGGCATGCTTTTATATGTTTTTTCAGTTTATTATATCAATATTAAGCTTTCTTAGCTAGATGACTAACAAATAATATTTTTGGTTGTTTCATGATTAACTTTATATGTGTTAACTTTATTTATTAAATATTATGTTCTTCACACTTACACCACATAAATTTTAATTCAACAGCTAAATTAGAAAATATGTAGAAACAGTATATTTTTAGAATTTGTGAAAGGCAGTTTCGTGAGCTGGTGGTAAAAAGTTTTATTCCATATGTATGGTGTTGCTAAAAATAAATTATCCAAAATTTTGATAGCTTTAGGTATTGTCATTTTTTTCAGTGCAAGGAACATACATATGCATAGATTCTTCATTATTTAATATCTTTAAAAATAATAGGGGATGATAATATATGATGGCAGCAATTTGAAAAATGATACCGCTATTTATAGTGGATGATATAAAATCCCATTTTAAGACTAATTAACAAAAATAAGCATAACATTTTGACTGTTTAACAAGTATAAGCATGATATTTTAATACTGTAAATAAGATTGTGAGTATTTATTCCAGTAAAATAAATGATGCTTTAATTCTAAGCTTGCATATCAGAATTTAATTTTCCTGTATATAATATAATATCTACACTAAAATAAAAAACTTCATATTAACACAAGGTTTTAACTTTGCTGTACATGTTGGCAAAAACTTCTGTAAACTTGTATTTCTCTAAACTAATTTTTTCATCAATTTCAAACTTATTTGAAATCGATGAAAAAAATTATTTACTGTATTGCTTAGAAGTAACAATACAGTTTTTAATTTGGAAATAATAGCATTTCAAATTTAATTGCTATCCTGTGCTTCATTATTTTCTGATTTTTTAGGTTTGGTTTTATGAGTTGGCATCTGTAGCCAGCACATTTATTTATTATTTATTTATTTATTGCATAATTACTATTGGTATTTAGTCTGTGCATCATGTGTGTAAGTAGATATTTCTGTCGTAAATGGAATTTGAATTCTCTGTTGGACTTGCATTTAAGCTACCTTTCAGGTTTTAAGCTGAAAAGTGAGAGATTAGTTTGAAAATTTTAATATCTTAAAAAGCATTAGCTGAATTTTTTCTTTTTTAGAAAGGTAATGTTCTCAGAAAAATTATTTTACAAAAGGATACTTAGATTCTTTTTCACTGGTGACTATTCACTTGTTTTTAACTTTTAATCTGTTTCATATATTATTTATTCTGTTATATATAAATCTTTAGTTAATGTTATGTTGTCATTCAATATTGTGAATAGTATTTCTCAATAAATCTGCATATATATTGTTCCTCTGTATAGTTATTGTTCTTATAATCAATTTTTTGTTTATTGTAAAAAATGTATATATAGGGTGTGTGAAGTAAATGTATATCCAAATCAGATTGAAAAGTCATGCCTGTTTGATTTCGTTAGTGATATTTGGCTTTTGTATTAGTGTTACATGTGCTACAATTCAGTATGTTAAATGTAAAAGCATGTTAGATATACATAATAAAAACAGCAGTATACTGAAATTGATGAAGGTTTATTTTTATCTGTATCCTATATATTCAAAGCAAATAATTGAGAATTTGACTACTCAGCTGAAGGATGTATGTGGTATATATTGTCTTCTTTACTTAGTATTAATATTTACAAAATTATGATTCGGAAAATTAGGCTTCCTTGGCAGACATTTTAGTATTTTTTCCCTAGTTTGTTATAGAATATTAATGAATTTAACTTTGAAAAACCACAGGACTGAAGAAGAAAAACAATCAGTTCCCCTCGCTGCTATTAGGGATAGTCTAAAATGCCCAGAGAGCAGCCCTGAGAGTGGCTACGGTTCCGGAGGCTCTGCCCATAACCCCAATGTTGATGGTGTGAGTCCCGGAGTAACAGATGAATCAGGCAAAACTCCACTTTCCAGAACCACAAAGCTGGTGGGCACTGTTTTCCTTTTCCCTGAGGCTTCTACTACTGAGGCCATAAATTTACGGGATGTCAAGGTAAAGATTTTGGATGAAAAATCTGAGATAGAGAGAATAAGGCATGTGGAATTTAATCCTAATAAGATTGAAAAGGTAACTGAGTTTCATTCTATTTCGTGCAATGGTTATTATTATTAATATTATTCATAAAAATTTGTGGAAGAAAAAAGATACAAAATTATATATTTTAAGACATTTATATTTATTACATAGCTATTTCAGTAACTGTAACTGTGAAGGAGATTCAGTAAATTTTAAGTTTAACACAGTTACAAGTTATACATCTAAAATTGCTTCTTTTGTTTTCAACATAGTTCATTTGACCTAAGTGCATACAAAAAAAAAAACAGAGTTGGTTTTTTTGGTACTTGCTGGCTTTTGTGGCTTACATGGTTTTGGCAACAACTTTTTGGTATCAAGAATTCATTCTGTGACAGAATATTTTGAAAATTATGTGTATGACAGCACTGGTGACATTTGTTTGCATTTTTCCATCTGATCATTCTGTGTATCAATTTTACGTGCTCCATTTTCTTTATTATAGGAATGAACATTTAATTAATAAATGCAAACACAGTGCACAATATTTTCTTAGAAAGCTGTAGCCATCTTTTAAGAGTTTGGTGGAGTTACAAAATGTCACTAAAGATGATTTATGACCAAAAAACTCTTGGAACACATCAGGAAAAAAATTATCATCAAGAAAATTTAATGGTACTTACTTACCAAATTATCCTATTTCAAGTTTTCTTAGCAATAATTTATTAGCATCAAGAATTTTTTTGGCAATTAAATATCTTCTGTTGAATTTTGATTACGCTTAGCTGCTGTTGTCTTGTATACTTTGTTCAATGATTCAGTTATTGCTAAGCCCTCAGCAATGCTGTAACTTCAGCAATGCTGTAAAGTTTTTTAAATTGTGTTTTATTTCATTTATTTATTTAAAAATTTCACTCACAGATTTTGCAGCAAATGTTTTCAACAGCCCATTGTTCAGGTAATAATTTTCAACATAGTTTTTCCTATTTTGTAGAATCGCATGCAAAAGTAAAAATGTCAAGTTTCATGAGCATTTTCCCCTTATATTTTATTTTTCTTACAGGATGGAGTTCTTTTTTACTAAATTCTAATTTCCAAATCTATATTGTTGTTTATTTTTACTTTTCTGCTTACTTTTAATGTTTGTTTTCATGGAGGGGACTGTCCTCAAGAAGGTGTAAGCCAGGAAACCAATAAGTATCATTATAATCCATCATAACTGATAAATATATATATATTTACTAATTTTATTTCTGCCCTTCTCAAAGTTCAATCATCATTGATACTTGAACATCATTATATACCAATGTTGTGTTTGATATTTCAATCAGTTTATCTGTTTATTTCTCTCTCTGCCTATCTTATGAATACCAAATTAATTTCTGTAGTTCAATTCTTTAAATATTAATGATCATTATTTCTGTAGGATGTGCCAATGACATCATTGTGATTCTACTAAAGGCGGAAACAAAGTTTGACATGACATACCTAACTGTGTTCACCTGCTCGAGGCAGCTATCTAACTGTTAAAGCAATTACTTGATGTTTTCTTGTACCCCCCTTTCTTTTTATAAAGCCTTTATTATTCTTACAGAATATTCTCCTCACACTGGAATGTGACATTTAAGTCCATAATTGCATATATCTGTGGGTAAATGATTAACAATTGTTGGATTACTTTGAAAGGTTATTTCTGTAATTATTAGAACTTTAAAAGTTCTATTCATGAACAGAAATGAGCTTATCCAGAATAGCAAGAGTAGGATTGGAATGACACATCAACGATAAGTACTTAACTGTTTTAGTCAGAAATCTTCTCAGTCTTCTCCACTGTTCTTTTTGGCATAATTTGCAAACTCTAACAAGAGTGTATTGATTTCATTTGCTTGCAAGGATTTTGATACATGATGTGAAGATCTACTTGTATGTGTTATTGTTTTTATGTATGTTGGAATCAGTGTTGCTACTTTATGTTGCACAGAAATTAGGTATAGCTTTTAGATTAGTTTGACTTTCACCGAATCTAGGTGCAACAGTACTGCACAAAATTTCAGATTCTTGCCAAAATTAAAAAAAAAAAAAAAAAAAAAAAAAAAAAAGAAGTTGTAATAGACTTTGTGATGAAATTCAGCTTTGAATTAATATTGGTTTATATATATATATATTTTTTTAACCAAATATATTTTGTGCCACTTTGCTAGAAATACATCATTTACAATGGTCAAAATTAAGATAAGTAAACAATAAAGAAGAAAGCAACAGTTTCATTTGTAGAATTAAACAAAAAGTGAAATAGTAAAAGAGTTAATTATGAGACAAGCTTTTGAAACTGCACAAATGTGATTATAGTTAATACTACAATATACACATCCCATTTTCTTTTATTGTAAGATGAAAAAAATCATTTTCAATTTCATTTATTACTTGCCAAAATTACTTCCGTTATAATTATTCCAAAATAAATAAAACTTCTGTGCCCTCGGGTGAATTTTAAATACCATTTTTTTTTATATTGTAATATTTCTTATTTTAATAAATTTAAAAATAAATACTTCAAACAGTGTGCCTCCCAATTTTTAGCCAATAAGTTTTTTGAATATAAAGGCTTGAGAAATCTGATTCATAAGTTAATGAAGTTTTCTACATGATTTTATGAAAGTTGAAACGAATAGGATGGTTAAAGGCCCCAGTAATTGATTCTGAACATCTGGTGATTTTCTTTGTGTGATTCAAGACTCGTGTTCTTAATGTAAAATTTTTAATTTCTTCTAAAATCAAAATTACACTAGGGCTTAAATAGATAACTGCAGTCTAACACTTTAAAATATCATTAAAATTGCAGTGATATTTTTGCTAATATGAGAATCACAGAAGCATTTATGTTCTAGGCCATAAAAAATAAGGAAGACCACCTTTATATGACCTTAATGTTCACCCAAATCTCCAGCAAAGTTTAATTTTTGGCACATGTACTTTGCTGGAAAATATTAAATTTCTGTTTGGTATAATTTTCATCGGCTGTTTGTAAAAAATGTGTTTTGTTGTTGTTGTGACTAATCCTTCTGATCGTAGCCTAAATAAGGTCAATAAATTCATTATGGCCAAGAGGGAAAGGATTCAGATTTTGTGGCGTAGGCCTTAGGCATGAATTTTCTCAGCTCTATACCGATTTTGATGGAGACACCACTCCCGCCAAGAGATAAATCTGATGGTCTCTTACCCCTCTTCTCTTCCACCTACCTCATGAGAAAACTTTTTGACTCAGTAGCATTTTAAATGGCCCTTTGCTATAGAGACACTATACATTTAACAAACATCCATATCTGCTTTGGGATTCAAACTCACATCCAAGGGATAACTAAAATCAGTTTCCCCTTTTTTGTGATACTTAAATGAAAATAAAACATATATTTTCCCCATTTCTGCATCAAATGTGTTATAATTCTTAAGCCTAGTATGTCTGCCAAACATTAGCACTTTGCCAAAATCAAAAATTACATCACATATTTTGCAGTGTATTGACCAGTTTGTCACTCCAATAAGTATGCAAGCCATGGTGTGAAACAGAAAATTTTTAATTTTGATACTTTGCATTCCCAGCAGGGTAAATATTCCTGCTGTTGGAGGTTTCTCTGAGAGGAAAGGGCAGCCGAGCAGTAAAGTCACTGAACACTGGTAGTTCGGTCCGAGGTTCGAATCCCACAAACGGGCTGGCTGCATGGGCGTTTTCGTGGTTTTCCCCATGTGTAACGTGTATACGAGCCAGTTTCCCTTTAAAAGTCCTCCACGAAGGCATCCCTTCCCTCAGTCTGATAGCCCTAGTGTGCCTTGCCTATATTAAATAAACCAAACCAAACCAAACCAAACCAAACCTGAGAGGAAAGGAGTGAGGCTCTTTGCCTACGTGTGGATTGGCAGTGCCAAGAGAAAGATGAAGTCTTGAGGAGGTGAGAAGGCTCATTTAACAGTCTGGTCACATGATTCTTTTGAGCACATCTAAAAACAAGAGATTTGCAGCTAGCCAACTACTTTGGGCAAGTACAATAATATGAACTACAGAGTTCGCAGAAATTAAAATGTGGTAAAATATGATTTATATGCTATGTACAGATGCTTATTTGTTCTTTAGAAAGATAATTCTTAGTATTCTAAGTTTGCAGGCTTTAAAATATTTATAAATGACACTGAGAAAAACATTCCTCAAGTAGTAATGCCAATAAAAAAATTTCTCAGTGGTTACCTAGAGAAGGTGCATTTCTTATTCTGAAATTGAATTCCAGTATGCAATTACTGCACTATAATTGGCTGATGAAGGTCATGTGATGGTTGAGTTCTTTTACTGTCCAATTTACTTACTGTGTAGCATATGATCTTATTTTCCTGTCTATTTGGGGAGGGGAGATTTCATTTGCTAGAATGTCTGCAAAAGTGGCTGGATTTTTATTTGTAGCTTTTTCATGCAATATTTTGTTGATCATGGTGATAAATTCTTTAATCATTTCCATCCTAAGGTCTGAATGGATACTTTGATGTCTTAAGTAGTATGGGCTGCATAATGATATGCAGAATCTTTTTTCTGTATGCAGAATCTTTTTTCTGTGAAGTATGGAGTTTCGTAATGTTATTGCTGGCATTCACCCAGGCGGGAGAAGCGTAGGTAAATATCAACCTAGTGACCAATCTTCAGCATTGTTTCTTCTGTCCTCGAGTGACCTAAAGTGGTAACATTTCTTGGCCTAGAGGATATGGAACATGGAACTACAGATTTTGACATCTAGTATGACCAAATAGGAGTAAGCTGCTTTGACAAGTCTTATCTTACCTAATTTATGACTTTTTGTGCCACAAATCTTGTATCATGTTTGATGGCATGGGAAAGTATTATAACATGGCAGCAAAGTGTTGTTCATGTGTCACCTGTGAAAGCTTTCTTGGTTTGATTAGTCTAAATTAAACTGCACTAATTAGGAATTTTGTAAATTTTCTAAAAATTAAAGTCTAGTACAGTAATCAAAAATTGCTTAAATAATAATCTAATAAAATACAAGCCCCCCCCAAAAAAATGTGAAAGGTTTCATATTTTAAATTAAATCCAAAGAGGCATTTTTGAACGTTTTGTGTGTTACCTTAATTTATTAAATATCATGTTCTTTGGACTTAAACCATAAAATTCAGTTCAATAGCAGTGTCTCAAAATAATTTTTAAATGAGCATATTTTTAGAATTTCCGATACACAGTTCTGCACCCACTGGAGATTAAAAGGTCCCCCCCCCGTCCCGCCATAGAGTGTTGCCATTGCTCACTTTTAAATTTTTGAGTTTGTTTCTCAAAAATTCGTTAAAGTTTTACAATGTATGAAATTGATAATAAAACAAATTTCAAATTTGGTCTTTCACATGCCATATTTGGAGGAGGATTACGTCATTCAAATTTCAATGGCTCTATGTACCTTTGTTTTATCACAATGCGAGAAATGGACATACTTTTATGCAGATTTTTCATTATTTAATTTCTTCAAATATAATGCAAGATTCTAACATTTGGTGGCAACAGTTTGAAAAGTGAACCCGACATTTATAGTGATTCAATGCAAAATCACAAAACGAAAACAATAGTACTTCAGGGGCAAAGCCCCTTTGGACTAAAAATCAGTTCTTTAACATTTTTTTTAAATTTGCTTCCCCCCTTTTTTTTTCCAGTCAGTGAATTAGGCTTCCTCAACATTTTTTTATTATTATTATTATTATTTGATAAAGTAAAATGAGAGGAATTGTAAAAAATGCTCTAAGAATTAAAACCTGAAACTGATCCATTGACATCCAATTTACTAACTGTAAAATCATTCTTAAGGCTTCAGATGGTGCATTAGGTTTCCTTAAAGCTTTCTTTAACCATTTAACAGCTTAAATTAATGATTTTAATATGGGTTCTCTTGCAGAAAATATTGAAAGCCTTATTCATAATTTTTTTTTTCTTTCATTTCTGTTTTGCTTAATGAAGGACTTTATAATCATAGCTTCTTCTTTTTTCCCTTGTTAAATAATATACTTCTGAAAAAAAGGTGGGTTTTTTTTTTTTTTTTTTTTTTTTTTTTGGAAGGATGACTCACTTCAGGTTCCTTTAAAATATATCCAAGATTAAAAAAAAAAAAAAAAAAAAATCAGTCTGTCTTTATCACCTCTACGTTATTTGTTTCGAATCGATAATATTTTTCTTTGGGGAAAAATCTGTTTCAATAGTCTTTTAAATAAGTACTAAATCTAACACCGTATGTAACACACTTCTAGACAAAGTGCTAGCAGTCTAGGTGAAAAGTATATACATCTAGAGAAAGTGCATAAAGGTAGCAGCACTGATTTCATGCTAACTTTATTTCACATTTACTTGTGAGAGTTTCAGACATGTGAAATACATGTGCATGTAATCTTATCTTGACACTTTGCTTGACTTGATATATTTAATCAGTGTTGTTGTTTCTACTTGTTAAAAAATCTTGCTATCAGAGGTCTACAAATTTTTAAGTCCTAAAGGACTAAATTTTGCATTGTTATTATATATACATAAGAATAGTTTAAACATGCGTTTTATATTTTAAGCAAACAGATTACGTTTGAGCAATGCAAATTGTGTGAAAGTTATTTGACTAAGCAGAGATGTGCCTTCATGGAGGAATTTCTATAAAAAAGGTGGCCCATATTTATGTGAGGAAAACCATAAAAACTCATGCAGCTCATCATTTGCTAAGATGACATGCACTAACTAAATTTAGGATAAATAGCCAGTTTTTCTTGTTTTTAATCACTTGGATACTGGTAAGTTATTTTCAAAAAAATACCTTTTATGTTAAACAGTTTATTAGAATTATGATTTTCTTACAAAACATCGTAAAAACTCCCCCTCCCCCCGGGAAAAAAAGAATGCTAGGTATTGGTAGCTTTGCAGCACTTTCATTTGCAAAGAATTAGAGCTTAGAGCAAACCAGAAGTTTTCTTAAAATCATTTAGACATTAATAAATCATTTTGAAAATAAAAACCTTTTATCATGAAAATATCTGAAAAATCTTAAGTTTCTGACACTGTCGCAAATTTATCTGAAAAAAGTAG